TATATATATATATATATATATTTATTTATTTATTTTTTTTTAATTTTTTTTTAATACAATATCATAATGTATAAATTTTTGGAATCACATAGTTTTAATATGAAATTACAATCTATCCCTATTTAGTTTGTAATTACATTAATTCCTGAAAAAGTTAAGCAAACTGGATACATAATGTGTAGCTCGGATAGATTAAAAACTAGCTCGGATACATTATAAAATAAACCGAATACATAATATGTTGCTCGGATACATTATAAAATAAATCGAATGCATAATATGTAGCTCGGATACATTAAAAACTAGCTCGGATACATTATAAAATAATTTAGAATTAGGAAAGAAATAAGGATTTTATAAGAGGTTTTTAGAAATAGAAGGGAATATTAGATATAATGGAAACATAAGACGTGTATTTGAGTAATTTTTCCTATAATGAATTTGTCTTTATCTCATTCTTAATTTATAATTTTTCTTATTTATGTATTTCTTGTTAAAGAATGACAAAAGTCCCACATCGGTGGTTAATGAGATGGGTGGACTCCTTATAAGGCTTGGGCAATCCTCCTCCCTTTGAGCTAGCTTTTGGGGGTGTGAGTTAGGCCTAAGACCTAATTTAACATTTCTCCATCTCGTTCAATTCAATTGATTGTTCTTTAAACAAATAGTGCTTCACAAAATATGTTTATTTAAAAAAGGGAAAAAAAGAAGAGATAAACCAAATGTAGTAATATGTTCCTATAAATACACCATTGGTTGAGAAGGAAATTCACCATTCACATATTTATTAATTAAAGTAGCATTACACATGAATATGGCTGGAGCACGTCTTAACTTTGCATTTTACTTTGTTGTTGTCCTAGCTGCAACTACTGGTTCATTACCTAATTACCTTTCATCTTATTACACAATTTAAAATTTTATTAGTGTGTGCTAAATGCTAATATATATATATATATATATATATATATATATATTTATTTATTTATTTTTTTTTAATTTTTTTTTAATACAATATCATAATGTATAAATTTTTGGAATCACATAGTTTTAATATGAAATTACAATCTATCCCTATTTAGTTTGTAATTACATTAATTCCTGAAAAAGTTAAGCAAACTGGATACATAATGTGGCAGTTACTATGTCTCGTTCACCAAAGCTGCAAGCAATGGGTGCGCGCGACATGTCAGTTGATATTGTGGCCATTGAACAAAAATTAATTCCGGTTGGTGATATTGTAACTTGCTTGAAAAGATGCTACGTGCAGAGTGATTGCAATGATGGATGGCTTTGTTCAGATTGCGCGAACGATGCATTTGATCAAGGTGGAAAGCATTGCGACAAGTTTACTGCTTCTGGACAAGGATATTTCGCCATGCTCAGTCGTAGTCAAGTTAATTAAGGAAGTCATGAGTTTGCAGTTTGAATCAAGAAATAAGTTCGTTGCTTTATTATGTTATGTGTTAGTCTCTCGTTACCTTTGTTCTTCTTTGTGTAATAAATAATACTAGGAGAACTTTTATGGTTGCTTTACAATAAGTTAGTTAATGTGAGCAATTTGGCTTGTGATTGCCACTGTTTGTGATCAATTAAGAGGTTGAGTTTCCCTTTCATTCCTAGTACAACTATATTTATCAAGTATTTCTTTTACAAAACTATATTTATTAAGTCAAATTATTTCAAATCAAAACTAATAGTGATTGGAGATAATTGGTACCAAATTTAACAATTGACTTTTGCCTTTCAATATTTGATACCTCATGAAAATATAAAAGGAATAATCTAGACATACATACATTCATATCATATTTATTAATTCAATCTATAATTTTAAATAAATACCTATTAATTCATTATTTATTAATTACAGTATGTATTAGATTTGGAATTAGATACATTGACATACATCACTCTCAAAAGTAATCTAAAATAGAGCCATACCCATCTAATTATCTCCATAATTTACTTCTTCACTCCAAATCAACAACCTCTTTCTCCTAATCCTTCCCTTCTCACATACTGACTCCAAGGTCGTGATCGACAGAATATCTCTCAAAATAGATATTTGGCAAAATGTATACATGTATCTAATTAAAAGTTCATGTGATAGTGTATATATATCTTAACGAAGATTCTAGTATCTATAAGCAAAGATTTATGATGCTTGAACAAATTAAATGAGAATGAATTTGATATTTTTTTTTGGGGAAAAAATTTAAGAATTCAGGGAATATCGCTCTTAATTTGATGCATTTTAATTAAATTTCATATGTCGATACACATAATTATACGTATATGCTTAATATTTATCCGAGATATATATATTTAGACGCGTCACATACATATATCTCCGAAAAAATAAATGATAAGAATGGCAATATAAACAACTCACTAGGTAATACGAACAAATAAAATAATTCAAACTTTAAAAAATTGAGCATTTTTAGTCCATTTTGAGTCCAATTCATTTCAACATAAATAATTTTGGACCGGTCAATAACCAACTCATTTCTTAACTCATTCAATTTTCTCTGCTTATAGCACTGTTTGCCCTATTTGACACCTTGAAGCATAAATTTTAGATACAGTGAGTACTCCCTCTGTTAAATATTACTTGTTCATTTTATTGTTACACATCTTTAAAGAGAACATAAGTAAGAAGTGTTATTTTTACTAGTTTATCCTTTAAACTATTTTTAAATTTTAATACACTCTATATATGTGCTTTATTCATCAATATCATATTAACAATGAAGAAAATCTTTTGAAACTTTGCAACATTTATACTTTCAAAAACAATTAATCATAAGGATAAAAAATAATAATTTATCTTATAAATTAAGAATAAATTCTAATATAAGACGAGTAATATAAGACGGAGAAAACACTCCCTTTTCTCATATTTACTTATTATATTTGGACTTAACATTCTCATTAACAAAATAATGATTGACATAACTATCTTATTATACTATCCCTAATAATTGATGTTTGATATTAGATTTTACAAACTTAACAATGGAGGACCTTTTTCAAATTTTTATAACATTTATATATATATTTTTAAATACTTTAAAAATTAAATCAGAAAAATGAAATTGATTTTATAAAATCAATAATTATTTAATAATATGACCAAATTAATATAAAATGGAGATGGTATATTTTTTTCAAAAAATAGTGCTTAGCAAAAGGTGCATATCCCAAAATATAGTGCACCATTTTGCAATATGTATCAACGTGGAGATCTAGCATGTAGGGATAACTGCCAGCAGCACCATCAAACTTTGTGTAAATAAATGTGCATAATATAGAGGCGCAGTTGACCAAATCAATTGATCTAGATCCAGTATTAATACTTTCTCCGTTTTTATTTATATGTCTTTATTATTAAAAATAGACATTCTTAATATTTATAATTTCATAAAATTAATATATAAATGACATTATTTTTTAATTTTATTCTTGGGAGTTTTAGCCTTGAAAATATGAATTTGACTAATATAGAAAAACTAAATGATTAATTCATATTTATTGGTCATTTTAATTAATCAAAATAAATTATTTTTTATTCATTTGTTAAAAACTAGATAATACTAAATAAGAATACAATGGAAAACTTACTTAATTCGTAAGAGACGTGAAATCTAAAATAATGACATATAAATAGGAATGGAGGTAGTAAAATATATCATGATGTAATGTATTGAAAAAGAATCATAATACATTATATATTAAAAAGGGATAAGGGTCTGAAAAATACCTCAACTTTGGTCGAATTTGCTGTTGCTATACTAAACTTTCATGAGGACCTATTACCTCCCTAGACTATTTAATACCGTATTTTAAACATATATATTTGCCCACGTGGACATAAAAAATAATGCAAAATTATAAATAGTAATGTGTCCGCGTGGGCACATACATACCTTTAAAATACACTATTAAATAGTTCAGGGGGTAAAAAATACGGTATTAAATAGTCTAGGGAGGTAATAGGTCCTTATGAAAGTTTAGTATCGCAACAGCAAATCCGACCAAAGTTGGGATATTTTTCAAACTCTTATCCTTATTAAAAATATATATCATGATATCATCACTTACATAATTTATGTACTCTCTCCGTTCTTATCTAGTTGTCATCATTTTAGTTTTACCGTCTTTTAAGAAATTAGGTAAGTTTATCACTGTATCCTTATTTAGGGCATGTTTGAAAAATTACTCTGATAATAGGATTTTATGTAATTTGGTGTAATTACACTATCTGACATATTTGATTGACCATGTAATTATAACTAGGTCAGCAGGTAATTGTGCATAACTGACAAGAGGTAATTACACTCTCCAATTCTCAAGGAGGGCAGTGAATTGTTGGTAATTAAATGGTGTAATGTAATTACAAGTTGATTACTTTTTAATTTTTTCTTTTTATTTCTATTTTTATTATTTCGTTTTAATTTATTTTTTAAAATTTTTTAATATATTTTTATTATTCTAAAAATTGCTAAAAGATTATTTTTTTATTTAATATTATTTATATTTTATTTTCTTCTCATTCTCAACCTTTACTTCGTGTTATTCCGTGTAATTTTTATTATCTACTTTTATGCCATATTTATTTTTTTCATTAGCGTAATTTTGTCAGTATTCTAATTTTCAAATTAAAGTAGAATTCATTGTCGTCACGATCCAAAAATGGATGTGATGTCACTTGTCTATTCCACCAATACAAGTTTGGATCAACACAATGAAACGAAAGAAAAAGTGGAAAAGAAACAAGAACAAAATAAAAACGGAAAACTATTCATTCTATTATAGCCCAAGAATCTGATTGTCACCTGTACAAGTCACTAATACATAAAGTGCGAAAATGAAAAATAAGTACAAGTCTCAATGACATTATTTTCCAAGTAGAACAAAGCATAACATAAAGGAAAAAGAGGTCCGTCGGGGTAACAAAAAGATACCTCTCAAGTCCTTCAACAAGCCTCAGAAATGGGAGAAGAAGAAGAGTAATCACATGATACCGAGCTCAGAATCTACACGAGTGTAGAAGTAAAGAGTGAGTACCAAACAACATGGTACTCAACAAGCAACCTGATAAACAAAGCAAAACTAGCTAGAAAACGAATATTCCTTGCATCCTAACTGAACCTCCTCAACTACAACCTACATAGAAATCAACCGAATCTAACAGTGCTACAATACACCGTTCAAAAATCACAGTTTAATAACCAACACGCATCAAGTACGTGAATCACAAGTAACAAGTAGATCAATCACAAGTGACAAGTAGATCAATCATAAGTGACAAGTACATTAAATCTTAATAGTCAACTCTTGCCGGAACCATTTTCCTTCGGCATAATATCACTATCCGAAACCATTTCAATCGGCTTTATATCACATCACTAGCCGAAACCATTTTCCTTTGGCTTAATATCACTAGCCAGAACCATTTTCCATCAGCTTTATATGATCACATCACTAGTCGGAACCATTTCCCATCGAATTTATATCACGTCACTTGTCAGAATCATTTTCCTTCAACACGATATCGCTAGCCGGAACAATTTTCCTTCGGCACAATATCACTAATCGGAACCATTTTCCATCGACTTTATATCACATGTTCATCACGGTGTACAACAATCAACACACATAAGCAATTTCACACCATAAAGAAGAGACGACAATTCAAGTGATTCAAGTCCATATTAATAGTATCAAAGCATTTCATCAATTAATCAAATAGGGCTCTCAACAAGGCAAAACACAAACATTATGATCGACACGTTGCCTTTTCATTAATTCCTTTTTTATTCGTTAAGGTTAATCAAGTGAAACAATGAACCCATCACTTCATTTCTGTTATTTTTCAAACACACACAATGAAGGGAAATCCACGATCCTACTAGATTTACAAGGTTAATTAGGAGATCACTTGCCTCAATTCAATCAAATAACCAATCCAAGACTTGAGTCTTTCCCTTCCGAACAACTTCCAAAACAACATAATCTAATTTAATCAAGTAATCACAATAAGATTCAGAAAATAACAATACTCATATCATACTCTTGAAAAAGGGGTCATTCAACTCTAAAATCAAATTTCGAAAATGAGGTTTGAATCCGAATATCTTTACTTGAAATCATTACCCAGGACATTTGGAACTCATTGGTGAAAATCATTTCGAAAAAGGATAAAAAATCAGTTCACAATCAGCATTTAAGTTTAGAACTCAAGTTTGAAAATTGATTGTTAGAAAATAATATGGTTTTTGGGTATTGTTACAAAATATTAGTTACATATTGAGGAGCCTAAATCTAAAATTTTGAGTGATTTGGTCTAGTTTTTGAGGTGGTTTTTGAATGAATCTCATGCTTGGATTCAAGGAGGACGACGAAGTCAATTTTTTGTATAATAATGTATATTATTATACATGAGTGTATAAATACCTCTTATAATTTTGTATATTACTGAATATTTAATTATAATATTGTATATCAAGTTTTGAATATTTTCATAAAAAATAATAATATGAAAGTTTTATATATTGTTATATACCATA